CACATTTTTTTTTTCCTCCCCCCCCCCCCCCCCCCCTTCTTTTTTTTTGGTAATATTCTTATACTCAAGTTTCCATTAATTAGCACATCTAGTCTATCATTCTTTGAAATGAAATCGTCAATAGGGACAAGATGTACCAATTAGGTTAATTATAAGAATACTACGGAAAATTTTTTGGAGAAGCTAGTGTGAGCAAAAGTCGAACACTTCTGGTGCAATTAAAAGCAGTTGAAATAAAAGAAAATGAGGTGAAAATTACCATTGTTTAATCTTCTGGTTTATGTGATGTTTTACTAATCTATATTCTATATTTTAATTTTTAAACATTTTTAATACGTTAAAATACATAACGTAATTAAGATAGATTTCCTAAGCAATTTAGTAGCCTTGAAAAATCTGTAAGGGGCCATCTTGAAGGATAAATAATAAATGCAACATCGTCGACAAGAAATTTCGACACTGGTGTCAACATTTTTGTGGGTGAATATGATGATCGAAGGAAACTCTCAGGAGTTGTTCTTGAATTCGATAAACATTATCAACTCGAATGCTGGTTTTTGTGTATAATTGTGGACAAACTTTAAGTTGATGATCACCACGATATTACTCTCAGTGATAATCAACATATACCACTCATTCGAGTTAAATAAAATGATTAAACATCAATTTTTACCTTTGATTACTACTTGCTTACTCAAAAATAAAAGACTACTGGTTGTTCATACACCTTTATATAATATTACACGTCTATCATCCATCTTAATTTTGTTCATCCTTGTGGCACAAAAATCACGTGATGGATGAAACTTTGATTTGACAATAACGATATTAAAACTTGAAAGTTAATTAAATGAATAATCACTAATCTTTACCTTCAGTTATTGCTTGCTCACTTAAAAATAAAAGGTTACCAATTACTCACCCACATTTTACACAATATTACACATCATCATCTATCAAAGCAAGTGATAACCAAAGGTAAAATTTGATAATTACTCATCTTGAAAATCCCAAATCCTTGAAGTGGAAGAGATGAAGTAGTGGAAGTTTATAGAAAAGAACAAAAAATCACAAAAATTCGAACTTGTTGTTTTGAAAGATCAAATACCAAGAAAAAGGTAATAATTTGAGAAACTTCTCAAAACTTTATTTAATTCAAAATTCAATTGAATATAAAGATTAATTACAACTCGTATTTAAAGCTTCACCGCAACTCGAGACACCGGATTAACTATAAGATACCGTTTCGGTGGCTGCTACAATGTCATTAAGTGGTGCTTGCTTTGAGCAATGACATCACCTAGTGATATCGTCACTGTGCTCAGGTGATAATGCCACTACAAAAAGGCCAATGAAGGTGTATCGAAGTAGGATGGGTGAAGATCAAGCAAGCCTAGTAGAAAATGAAATCCATGTGAGTAGGGGACCTCTATTTTTATCATTTGGGCGCGAAAGCCCATCTTGGAACTTCAATGGTATTATGACTACAATGATGATGGTTGTGCGGTGGATGTGAAGAAGGTATGAGAGATGTGGAGGTTGGTAGACTTAGCTGAGGTGAAAATGGAGTTCAAGGGCTGGGGGGGGGGGTGGAGTTTGGTCTATTCAAGTAGCTAAGGTTATCGTCGTGCAGGTGGAAAAGGATATGGGCGATTTGTTGATGGTTTTATTGTGGGCGATTTTCTTATTCTATAGTATACGCTATGGTAGTGTTGGCTGTGATAGTGGTGGTCTATATGGTGGTTGTGTTACTGATTTTAGGTTGGAGATTGTATAAAAAAGGCATTGTGATCAATTATTTAGATGATTGTGACCATAGGTCACAGGTCATTGCTCATAGGTCATAGATCAAATAGTATATGTTACAGGTCACACTTCACATATCACATATCATATTGTATGGATTACAAATCAATGTCAATAGCTCACAATTATCTGATCATAGATCGAAGTGCATTGGTCACATTTAGCAAGTTATATGTCAAAGTGCATAGATCACAAATCATAAATTCAAGAGATTTGATTACATGCCATTAGATCAGCTCGCAATTCACAAATTCAAGAGATTTGATTACATGCCATTGAATCATGTCTCGTATAACAATTCACATGTTAAAATGCACAAGCCAGGGACTAAAAAATTTAGTCACAAATCATTGGCCTAGGTCATATCTCACAAATCAATGAGATTTGGTCATAGGCATTAGATTATGTTATAGATCACATGTAACAAGTTACATGTCAAAGTTTATAAGTCACAGGACAAAGATTCAAGAAAACTAGTCACATGCCATTGGTTTCTTCGACCTCAATTCTCCCAACTATCACAAAATTCAATTAATCAAATATCGACGGTGAGAATTGAAGTTATTTTTCTGGTGAATACTCTGTAACTTAACCTAGTAATTGTTTTTCAATTTCCAAAATTTAAAGGTATGTATGAATGCATTTATTTTCCACAGAAAAATATCATTTTTTTTTCATTCACATTCCTACTTTGGAATGTTTGATTGCTTTTTTTTCATTGAAAATATTTTTCAACTTTTAAAAATATGCCTAATTTTTCTTGTTTTTAAGGAAAATATTTTCTTTAGGAAGAACAAGTTTTTGTTTTCCCAAAACAATGAAAATATTTTTTTTAGGTAATATTTTTCATACCAATCAATCACACTCTAAATTACACTAGCACTGTTCATTCGTCACCTAAGAAAATGATAAGTTGCCGGCGATGCTCAGTCGATGTTTTTCTACGGATCACTATGTTTCTCCTTCTCTCTCTCTACTATTTGAGCAGATGATGCTCATTCACCATAGCGCGACGATCATTTCGTAGTTGAAGAACTCGTCAACGGAGTGGGTGGGTGTGGGGTGATCACTGTAAGACGTGATAGCTGCGGATGGTTGTTTGGTGGGGGTGGGTATGTGTAGATTCGTTTAATTTGATAATATTATTATTTATAATTAAATATTGAACGAACACTTGATTTTTGCATTTTTAAATTTTAATGTCTGGAAATTGATTTGGTGCATACTTAATACACGACTCATGATTTTTTTGCAAAAAAATAAAAATAAACCCGATCCCACTTTTCCTTGAATTTTTCTTCTTTTTTAATTACATCATAGACCTAGTTTGCCTTTTGATGTTGACATGGAAGCTGAAAAATATATCGTCTTATTTGTTTTGACTACCTAATTTTCTTCTTAGTTCGTTTTACATGCTTTCATATTCAAATACAACTGGCACACGGTTTTTAAGCTTGAGCATTACATTATTTGTTTTTAATGTCAAAATAAAGCATTATTAGCAAGAATAAAAAAAATTTATTTCTAATTTCTATAATTATATTCCTATTCACCAACTTCGCCCCTTGTTTTCTTTGGTAATTTTAATCTTATTTATGACATATTACTCTATGTTTTATTAGCTTCAAAAAATTTATTATCAACTAAAATGATGATCGAAAAATATTAATTAGGAAACATATATGTTTGAATATTTAAACGATCTCAATGTGTTAGTTTCTTAAAAGTATACTATATATACGTACGACTCACGCCTTGACTTTTCAAGTACATATATGGGAGCGTTTGTTTCTCATTTTTTCAAAAATGAGAATGAAAAATATAATCGTTATGGGTCCCAAACAAAAGATAGAAATTCAAATTTGATAACTTAATGTGATGAATAACGATCATATTTTTCATTTTAATGACGAAAGAATGAAAAACAAACGGGGGGCATAGTTTGCAATACAATGGACATGCCTCTATCTTCATTTAGTCTTTATTTCATAAAATATAATTAGAAATGAATGAAGGAGTCACTTTAACGTGACATTGTTTAGAAACAATAAGGGAAAAATGTAATATATAAGTGAGTTCCTGAGTATAGAAAAAAATTAGGGGAAAAAAAAGACAGAGAGAGTCGGGAATGAAATAGAGAGAGAGAGGAAAAATATTAATTTTATATTTTTTGAATAATGAAAATTAGGCTCAACTATTGAAATTATTAGTTCATAATAAAGTATTCTATTAATAAATAAAAAAAATTAGAGAAATAATAAATAAAAACTTCCAAAGACAAATACCCTGAACATGGATGATGTGTTCACGTTGATAAACCGGAATATATCTTACTTTATCCCCCGACAAGCCGCTTCCTTAGATTTCTAATGTTTAAAATTATTATTTTACTAGGTACTCATAATGGTGCATTCGTAGCATCAAAAATCCATACCACCTTAATCTTCATGTTGACACCTAATTATATAATATAATTATTTTCTTCTACTTATTCTCTTGTGACGATTGCCCCCATAACATTTTTAAAATTTACTGAAATCATGTAGAATATTTTATTTTTTATTATATCTGTTGTTCTTCATTCTACAAGGTTTTAGTCATTGGTCACATGACAGACCAGCTAACAAGTCACCTCAAATTTGTACTCCACATCACTCGCTAAATTATATGGCCCAAATGTTACCATTGAAAAGAAGAAGTCAAAGTGATACATCAGCTCCGTCGAGACACCATGTTGAGATCTGCTGTAGTTTAACATCGAGGTCCACAATATATTATATTGTCTCTTCAATAATTTTTATCACCTCTGTGAAATTTTTAGCTCTGTCGCTTGTTGATTTTAAAGTTGAGACTGAACTTTATTGTGTACTTTTTTTTGCTTCGCTTTGTCTTCTTTATAACCATATCCAAGTTACCTTCTTGAAGAAAGAAGGCGAAAACTACTTTTCGGATTATCTTCTCTACAAAAATGAATTGATAGTTTGTAAATAAGACTTTTTACCAAATTTATTTAACTTAAATAGATAATGTGAAGTATGAAAAGTAGCATAATTGAATGATACAACCTGTTTCTATGAAGTAATTCCTTTTTAATATACATTAATTTATTCACTTAAAAGAGGGTTCACACTGGGAAGAAACAGACAAGAGGTGACAATATTTTGAAATTACCCATAAGATGACAAAACTTCCAATGTTTTAAATAATTTGGACCCCAACTTATACAGTGTATCTAAGCCACTCTATCTGCATTAATTTATACTTTATTTTTTATAATAAAAGAACTCACACATGCACTCAAAACTGGATTATATGATCCAATGACCTAACCTATACCTTAAAACAAACATTTTAATTGAGAGAAGTGCCATGGAGGTCCCACACTGTATAACTTATATAACTCTTATTTGATAGGAATTTAAATTTAAATTTTAAATTAAGTCAAAATTAACAATAAGTTTTGATTATATATTTTGTGAATTCACAACTTTTCATCTACATATTTTAGCGATTTTTATTAAAATATGTTAAAAATCTGATTTTAATTTTTATCAAACAGGGGCGTAGTATGTTTAGCTTTGTTTGCAATGAATTATCGTGACCAGTAACAAGGTAATGGAGTAGAGTATCATTTTTGTGAGAATTGTGTTATTAATTATCGTGTTTATTTGAATAATCAATTTGAGAAAATTGAGAGAATCGAAATGAAGATTTGTAGTGTACAATTTATGTAGTAACTTGATCCCCAACTTCAAATTTGGAATAAATAAATCTTGAAACCTTTCAATTTTGTTTTGGATCTTAGTAAACCTTTCAACATATGTAGTGTACAATATATGTACATAAATATTTACATAATGGATTACATAATGTCACATGACACTCTACTATTTGTCAGTTTAAAATACAATCAACTTTTCCATCAAATATTTTCCCTCCACATCATATTATATAATCCATCATGTATATTTTTTTTATATACAAGTAACAAAATCCTTTTGTTTTTGTTGCTCAATGATTCTCAGTGGATTCAGCTAAAATGTTGTAGCATGATTGAAATAACCGTTAGTTCAAGCATAGCCAAAGTAAATAAAAAAATAAGGAAAAAAAAATAATGACAAAAGAAGATTACGAAAAGGGCAAAAGGATAATTGCAAAGGAGGTCCTCAATTATGGTCTGTGTAGTAATTGGTCTCTAACTTTTAATTTGTTCACTTCACAATCAAGATGTCTAAAAAGACTATTATAATCTATTCTTAAGTAAAATAAATATAAGTGAATAAGAAAACGGGACAGATATAAAAATAAGATAAAAATAAAAGATAGTAGATAGAAGATAGAAGGGGCATTACTTTGCATATATTGTACGTAACATTTTTAACGGACATTTGTTTATAGGAAAATATGGTGTAAAGTATCTTAAGTCTTTTTTATAGAGACTTTTTTGAATAAATTTTGTGAAAAATGATTTTTAAAAAATATATATATATGTTTAAAAAATTGAAAATGCAGATTTATTTGTAAAATTATTTATAAAAAAATATATGACAAAAATGAAATTATAAAAGATGGGACCAAGGAAATAAAGGCCGACCTAGTATCTAGAGGCATATGCAGCCGCAGTAGGGGAAGAAAGTAAAATATCCCAATTTAAATAATGTTAAATTTTGTTTTAGCCAATCGAAGCAACGGTCTGAAAAAGTGAAGACCAATTGAGTTCTCGATTACATTATCCCTCCTTAAAGTTCCATAACAGGTAACGACTTTACCTGTCGACCTAATCATGTGGCTTTCATTTCTTCATAATTATTATTTTCATTTGTACCAAAATATAATATACTCCACTTGTTTTATAAAAATATATCTACTTTTCTTTTTCATCTATCTCAAATTATAAGACACTTTTCTTATTGAGAATATAGTTAATTTCTTAATTTTTTTAATATGTTCTTATTTAATATATCTTGTTATCAATAAATATGAAATACCATCATTCAATGTAAATGTGTATCAAGAAAAAATATATGTAAAATTTATTGTTCCAAATATATTAATTAAAATTTTCTAATAAGTATGAAAATAAAAACAAGTCTATCTCTATTGGTTGGAGAGACTATATCTTCTGCATGTTTCACCTCGTTAAACTCTTCCAGAGCATTTAATATAAAGGAAAAACCATGACTAATGTTTTAAAATACAATTTAAAAAAAAAATTGTGGACGATTTTCAAAAATAAAATCTGATAGAAAAAAAAAATAAAAATTACGATGTATAATTTAATTAAATAATTCACGATCAGAATAACACATAATTTATTATCACAATTACATATT